TCTACAAAAAATTTCAAAATTAGCTGGGTGTGTTGGTGTGTGCCTGTGTTCCAGCTACTTGGGAGGCTGAGGCAGAAGGATAAGTTGAGCCCAGGTATTTGAGGTTGCAATGAATTATCATCACACCACTATACTCCAGCCTGGATGACAGAGTGAGACGCTGTCTCTAAAAAAATTGTATATATATCTATGTGTGTATGTGTATACACGTAGTTTTCTTTATATAAACATCAAACCAGGCAAAAAGTAGTATATCGTTTAGGCATATATGTATTACAACTATAAAGTGATGTTAGGAAATGATTAACACAAAATTCAGGATAGTGGTCATCTCAGGAATAGGGGGAAAGGCATACAGGTGGTAAGGAGTACGTGAAGAGCTTCTGGCATATCTTGCAAGGTTCTATCTCCTTTCATGAGCGCTTATCTATTAATAATTCAATAATCTATATATTTCTTTTATGCTGCTTTCTGTATTTGTGTTACACGTAAAAATAAAAAGTTTAAAAAATAATTAAGAATTCTTGTTCAAAAATAGATATCATTAACAAAGTGAAATGACAACCCACTGAGTAAAAAATAGATATTTATAATGCATGTATTTGATTAAAATTCATATCTAGAATACATGAAGAACTTCTGTGAATAAATAAAAAGGCAGACAACTCAACAATAAAATAGGTGCCTTGAGCAAGCACTTCACAAAGGAGGAATGCAAGCAGACAATTAATATAGGAAAATGTGCCCAACATCGACAGTTGTCAGGCCAATTGAGATTAAAGCCACAATACTTCTACACATTCGTAGCTTAAATGAATATACCTATACTGAATGTTGACAAGGATTTGGAACAATACTGGTGGCAGTATAAATTTATACAACTACTTAGGAAACAGCTTGGCAGTATCTACTAAGCTTAATATATGCCAATTCTATGATCTGTTCCCAGGAATATACCCAAGAGAAATATATACATATATTCACCAAAGGTCCTGTGCAAGAATTTCCTGGCAACACTGTTTTTAATAGCCCCAACTGGTAACTACCCCAAAGACTATCAATAGTAGAATAAAGAAGTAAAGTATGGCATATTCATACAATGGAATATTATACAACAATGAGAATGATTGGACTACAATTATGTACAACGGTAGAGATAAATCTTACAAATGTCACCTTGAATAAAAGAAGCAAGCAACAAAAGAGTATATATTCCATGGTTGCATTTATATAAAGTTTTAAAACAGGCAAAATTAATGTATAGTGTTAGAAGTCGGGATAGGGATCAACCTTGGTGAGGGGAGGTGACATGAAGCAAGGATTTAGGGGCTTTTGGGAACCTGCTAATATCAGCGTAATTATCACACAAATATGTTCACTTTATGAAAAGTCAGTGAGCTACACACTTATGATTTTGCATTTTTTCTGTATTTATATTTCTGAAATGTGTTTTACAAAAAGGAGTAGGGGGAGTCTTGAATGGTTGATGATATACCACTGACTGAGGAATATGATTGATCTTCCAGTTCTTTGTACATGATTGCTAGAAAACAAAATAAAGGTAATAATCAGCAGAACAGAAGTTGAAAGTAAAGCTTTCACCAAAACATGGAGAGAGTAGGTGAAAAAAGGGAAGTAAAACAAAATACATTTCTTTGGTTGAATACTCTTTCTTCCTCTGCCTTGGTTCTCTATTAAAGTTTAAATAGTGTCATA